GCGGCGGCATCTGCGGCGGCGCGTTGGCCCAGCAGATCTTCCAGCCGGCCGCGGCCGCATAGTAGTCCGAGCTCCAGGTGATCTTGCCATCCGAGGGCGCGATCCCAGTCGGGCCAGAGGTGCCGCAGTACCTCACGCCGTTGACGATGAGGTAGTCGTAGTAGCAGTCGTCTGTGGGGTCGCCGTTCCCGTCGTAGTCGTTGTAAGGGCTATAGTCTCCCTGCACGTCGAAGGTGAGGGAGACCAACGGGTTGGGCGGCACATTGGTGAACTCGCACCACTCCTCAGGGCCGTACTTGTCCGGGTAGTGTGGCGAGGTGGCGCACGCGCCGCCGTCGGTGAGCGGGCACGGGCCGTCGACCTGGACGCTCAGACCAGGCAGATGCGGCGATGGCGGCGGGGGTGGCGGCGAAGATGGCGGCGGCGGCGGATGGCTAGGTGGCGGCGGCATCTGCGGAGGCGTGTTGGCCCAGCAGATCTTCCAGCCGGCCGCGGACACCGAATGGTCCGAGACCCAGGTGAGGTTGCCATCCAAGGGAACGACCCCAGACGGGCCAGAGATGCCGCAGTACCTCACGCCGTTGACGACGAGGTAGTCGTAGGAGCAATCGGCGCCAGGCTCCACGTCGAAGGCGAGGGAGACCAGCGGGTTGGGCGGCACATTGGTGAACTCGCACCGCTCGTAAGGGCCGTACTTGTCCGGGTAGTTTGGCGAGGTGGCGCAGGCGGCGCCGTCGGTGAGCGGGCACGGGCCGTCGACCTGGACGCTCAGGCCTGGCAGGAGCGGCGGGGATGACGGCGGTGACGGCGGGGGTGGCGGCGAAGATGGCGGCGGCGGCGGTTGGCTAGGAGGCGGCGGCATCTGCGGCGGCGCGTTGGCCCAGCAGATCTTCCAGCCGGCCGCGGACACCGAATAGTCCGAGACCCAGGTGATGTTGCCATCCAAGGCAACGACCCCAGTCGGGCCAGAGGTGCCGCAGTACTTCACGCCGTTGACGACGAGGTAGTCGTAGGGGCAGTCATCTGTCGGGTCGCCGTTGCCGTCGTAGTCCAAGTCAGGGTCATCGTCTCCCTCATACGGTGACGGTGACGGCTGGATGTGCGCTATTACCCCTCCCCCACACACGCAGCACTTATCGGTGGCCATGCCCTCGCCGTTGTAATCAGTATTGCCATAGTCTTCGCACCAGCCGTTGGCTGAGTAAGCGTCACACCCGTTGGTGCCGTCGAACCAAATATCTCCAGATAATGCACCCGGGAGATCCGTGCATGTTGGCGACAGCTCGGG